GCTTGTTAGATCTTCCTCACACGAGTCAGTGAGTAAGGATACTCATATGAGTTTAATGTCATCATTTTCTAAACAATTGCTTGTTAGATCTTCCTCACACGAGTCACTAAGTAAGGATACTCATATGAGTTTAATGTCATCATTTTAATAGCCTGCTTGTTAGATCTTCCTCACACGAGTCACTAAATAAGGATACTCATATGAGTTTAATGTCATCATTTTAATAGCCTGCTTGTTAGATCTTCCTCACACGAGTCAGTGAGTAAGGATACTCATATGAGTTTAATGTCATCATTTTCTAAACAATTGCTTGTTAGATCTTCCTCACACGAGTCACTAAGTAAGGATACTCATATGAGTTTAATGACATCATTTTAATAGCCTGCTTGTTAGATCTTCCTCACACGAGTCACTAAATAAGGATACTCATATGAGTTTAATGTCATCATTTTAATAGCCTGCTTGTTAGATCTTCCTCACACGAGTCAGTGAGTAAGGATACTCATATGAGTTTAATGTCATCATTTTCTAAACAATTGCTTGTTAGATCTTCCTCACACGAGTCACTAAGTAAGGATACTCATATGAGTTTAATGACATCATTTTAATAGCCTGCTTGTTAGATCTTCCTCACACGAGTCACTAAATAAGGATACTCATATGAGTTTAATGTCATCATTTTAATAGTCTGCTTGTTAGATCTTCCTCACACGAGTGAGTGAGTAAGGATACTCGTATGAGTTTAATGTCATCATTTTCTAAACAATTGCTTGTTAGATCTTCCTTACACGAGTCACTAAGTAAGGATACTCATATGAGTTTAATGACATCATTTTAATAGCCTGTTTGTTAGATCTTCCTCACACGAGTCACTGAGTAAGGCTACTTATATGAGTTTAATGTCATCATTTTTCTAAACAATTGCTTGTTGGATCTTCCTCACACGAGTCACTGAGTAAGGATACTCATGAGTTTAATGTCATTTTTCTTAATAGCCTGTTTGTTAGATCTTCCTCACACGAGTCACTGAATTTGGAAATTGTTGTAAGATTAATGTAATTATTTTTAATATCCTCCTTGTTAGATCATTTTAATAGTTAACCTGCCAGAACAGCCTCACACGAGTCACATAATTCTGGGATACTGCTCATATTACATGTACTTCCGGTGCTCGTAATGCTCGACTCGTGTGAATACTCCCGGTTGAAAAAACTCTCGGTTTTTTTAAAACAAATTTACGTTGTTTGAATTTTGCTCATAATCCTTTAGAATTAATAGCCCCAAATACCTCTCAATATTATAATGATAGTAATATAGCGCTATAGTATAATGCAACATATCAAAAACTTATCACGCATCAAAACAATTTCTCTGTAGTTTATACCTGACTCTAAGTTAAACTATGCACTCTGTTACACATGTTGATTGTCAAACCGCTATGACATTAATGGCCAGGGCCGTACATGTAATAGTCTATATACAAAACATCTGTCTATTGTAAGTGAACTGTAAATACACATATACACAGATATCGCTTGTATGAATGTACAAACAAACATTATTGCACTGGAATTTTGAAGAGCACTTGAAAAAGCAGAGATAAGGTAAATATTAAACATTTTATATCAAAATCACAAAATCAATTCATTTGGTTAGACGACATAGAACAAAATTAGTTAAATAAACATTTTGAATTGAATAAATCGATTTCACAAACAGTGTATTAATACGGTATGTCTCCGATACATTACGGTATGTCTCCGATACATTACGGTATGTCTCCGATACATTACGGTATGTCTCCGATACATTACGGTATGTCTCCGATACATTACGGTATGTCTCCGATACATTACGGTATGTCTCCGATACATTACGGTATGTCTCCGATACATTACGGTATGTCTCCGATACATTACGGTATGTCTCCGATACATTACGGTATGTCTCCGATACATTACGGTATGTCTCCGATACATTACGGTATGTCTCCGATTCATTACGGTATGTCTCCGATACATTACGGTATGTCTCCGATACATTACGGTATGTCTCCGATACATTACGGTATGTCTCCGATACATTACGGTATGTCTCCGATACATTACGGTATGTCTCCGATACATTACGGTATGTCTCCGATACATTACGGTATGTCTCCGATACATTACGGTATGTCTCCGATACATTACGGTATGTCTCCGATACATTACGGTATGTCTCCGATACATTACGGTATGTCTCCGATACATTACGGTATGTCTCCGATACATTACGGTATGTCTCCGATACATTACGGTATGTCTCCGATACATTACGGTATGTCTCCGATACATTACGGTATGTCTCCGATACATTACGGTATGTCTCCGATACATTACGGTATGTCTCCGATACATACCTTTAAACCCCATTTATATCAACGATATCGAAGGATTGACTAACATTATAAGTAGCTCTAGTGCGAAAACCATTTTTTTCAAACAAATAAATCCTTATTTAACATTTAATGGTCGTTTACAAATATTTTCCATTTCATAAAGAAAACATTAAATATATGCTACAATCCTACTTGATAAATGTCTTGTTATTTACTTAGATCATTTTCCATGTAGCAATTTAACTCGTGTGGTAAATCGTTTACTTGATAAATGCATTAATAACGAGCAGACATCTCCACATGGGGCAATAGAAGAGTTGACGCTGATCTATAGGTTTGTTATCGTTGTTAAGCTATCTTGATATTTACTAAAACAAAATAAAAAATAAAAAATAAAAAATCTCTCTTATGTTCACGAACATATCTTATTAAAACCGACATTTACCGCATGCAGTGGTTAGATTTAGTTATTTTCAGGCAAGGATAAATGTAATGTTAGCATGCTTTTAACTTGAGTTTTATAAGAACCGCACATATGACATTTGATTAATTGCATTTTGTAGCAAGAATAATCCTGTGTTCTTGAAATTTCCCGTTCAGATACGATTTTAACATTCATTTCTACCCAGCCAACAATAGAGATATGTTTATTTTCTTAAGGAAAATGGATTAGTGTAGCGTAATGTTCTATTACAGCTTTACAATACCTGTAGCCACTGTATCTACCTGGCTTTAATGAGATATGTCGCCGATACCTACATGCATATACAGGTATATTTATCCTTGGGATCAATAATGCACCTTTGTGTCTACGCTATCAGACATATCAAGAAGCATAGTATGTACAACATAATTGCATTTTTCTGTTTCAGAAAAAAACCTAATTACTATTTTTCAAAAATCAGAAAGTTGCTTTAGTTTGTGAGTGTGTAAGATCTGTGATGAGGTGTTATAAATGTACCACAAGGAACATGGCTACTCACTTATTAGACATATAAACAATGTTATGGTAAGTACTTAACCCTCCTACATATAGAAAAGGCTTCAGTTGTTTAGAGCTGAGTATCCTTACCAGGCATCACTTCACGTTTTAAATCATTACTGATAACAATGGGTTGTTTTGGTGGGGTTTTTTTAAAATATAGTTTACGTGTGTTACCGTCATTTAATTCGATTGACACTTTTCAGTTTGATAATAATTTTTATATTTCTTTTTCGTAAATGGATAATGAAAACTCCATAATATCACAGTTAAGTCACTCAGGTATACAACAACAGGTACCTTGTTATTATATGGAACTGGTATGGCTATATTAGCGTCTGTTAGAAGTGGTAAGGGCTCCATTACAGTAGTTTCACTTACAAACAAAGAATGTCGATACATAGTGTTCCTAATTATACACTGTGCAATTATTTTTTTCAGTGTTATAAAAATACATCATTTGTTCCGACGCAATACATGACTCGACTTATTCACATCGACACATGCAATCAGAGCATGTTGCATATACAATATATGTTTAAATGTTCTAATGGTATTCTAAATACAATTTTGAGTACTTTATAATATGTTTTCTAATGTGATTTTAATATCCAAATGTTGGGTTTTAGATTTTTGTATTAGAGATAATTTCTAACATTGAATATGAACTAGGATGTGAAATGTAACTGTTCGGGTGTATTGGTGTCAATGACAGGTTTTATCATTAAATGCATGGCATCTCGTGTATGCTTATGGGTCTATTATCAGAGTTCACATCGCGGTCATTAGTCTAGTATCTGATCAAGTACTAAATAACGAGTGTGCGTAGTAAGAACTACACATTTTCCCACTAAATGAGACGCTGACACGACTGTGTATAACACCTGGTTTAGAACAAACCAAACATTGTATCTCTAGTTAGTTTACTATTAATAAAATAGTCACGCTTTTATAACAGAACAAACGCACACCCTATGCCAATTCTAATGCTAACACAAATCATGGTATACTTATAGCGGTACGGTACGCTCTCATCACGGAGTATGGGTATTCATCTCTCTGGGCGGTGTATTGGTTGGCCAGTTTTCTATGCGAGATCATGTTTGTTACATTAGGCTTAAAACGTGGAGGACTGAATACAGCCTGGTACTGCTCTATCAGATACCTAGCGTACATTGTTAGACGCAATATTGTGTCTTTTCGGGGGTATTAGAATGAGATTACGACTTAATCGGAGGGGTGGGACATCATCCTGAATACCGACATGTAACCAGGGGGATGGCACAGCTATCTAATTTCGGGTTATTGAATAGATATTTATCGGCGGAACATGTTATAGGCAATAGCTCATCTTGTATGTAGCTAAAACGGATTTTTGGTATATATCCAGGCCGTCTCAATGTGATCTTTGGGGTGATATCCTCTGAATATGTAGACGGAATAGAAACGACAGGGAGGGAACTAATATATAGCTCAATACCCTAATGCCACAAACACGTCAGTAAATAGTTAACTATTCATAGAGCGGTAAACAAGTAATCCAGTTGCATGACATCACGATGTAACCGGAGGGGAGGGACCTACTGATTGCCTGGATATAATGAACACATTACATCATACTTTGTTTACTTATTTTAGATTGGACAGTGGTTGACATGCACCATGCTTCCAACGAGCGCGTGCCTGTGATTGACAAGTCACAGTACCAAAGCCAAACATGCAGACTGCCTAAAACGCAATATGAACTGTTTATGTACGTGTTGTCAGGGATATACTTGTAACACGTGATTGCAAGGATATATATATAATCAAGTTCACGACTTAGTGCATCCTTGAGCCCTGAACCATCATTGCCCTTGGTGGATTTCTGGCACGATGGAGGACGCAATCTCATTACACTATCTCTTAGTCGGCATTGTGCTGTTGGCTGTGACGTCACAAGGATTCTCCAAATCGGTAAGTTGGCATTATATTCTTATGTTTTTATTGTTGTGAAATTAACTGCTTAACTATTATGATAACACTAAGTTCAGCTAATGCATATCAGAGAAGCAACTTAAGCAATACTGGAATATTGAGATTATATCAGAACAGTTAACGACTGACTTGTTCGGGAACAGATTTGATGATAGAGGTTAAACGTTTCATAATGTCTGAAGCTAAGTGCCTTTCTATGCTTGTATATGTTCTATCGATCTAAGACAATTTGTTGGTGAATGAGTCGCAGTAGGTACATCTGATACAATACAGACGAGAACGCATAGTTCTTTGTCCACAGTAGTTCCAATGATGACCATGATGACAGAGAAAAAACCCAACCAGCGTACATTGTAATTATTGTAAAAAATATTACTTTATCAGTCAGCAGTATAATGAGACAGAAACACAACAGAGAATGTGCATTACATGATTGGGAAAGAACAATTATATCTCATTTTAACTTATAAAGTTACGTAGATAATCTACATTATTATTATTCTTGTATTATTCTTAACNCGATCACATTATACTGACAACGGGCGAACCGGTCGTCCCACTCCTAAATTGCTGAGCGTTAAGCAGGAGTAGCAACTACCATTTTTACAGACTCTGGTATGTCTCTGCCAGGGGTCAGAACCCAAAGCCTTCATCACAGGGTCGAACGCTCATCTAAAGGCCAAAAATGAGGCATTGCCAATGGAGACATAAGTAAGAAGAAAGTTGTTTAGAAAGAAGAGAAAAGTTAAGATCCCAAATTTAGTCGCCTCTTACGATCATGCAATGGGGGAAGCAGGTACAATTCTTACGCCCTACCTGCGGAGACGTAATAAGACTTAGGGACGTTTCAGAGAGAATAGTACTTTGATGCATTCAAAACATTATTCACAATATTCATCGGTATGAGGATGACAAATATGTTTCGGGCAAACACGTTTAAAACAAATTATTGACATCGAAATTATGGAGGGTAACTTTTTTGTTTGTTTTTGCGCAGTTCATGATGATTCCCGTCTTATTTTTAATGTTTCATAAGCTCCTTTCGCTCTATTCCTGCATCGCCTTTTAAGTATGGTTTTGTTTGTTAAATATGTGATTTGTTGTACGGGAGAATTGCGAGAAATGACAAAAAATGTTTTGCTATTTGTAAATATTTCATGGTCATTTTCCTTTCCTTATCCGTGTTAATTTCCTACATAAATCATCTGTCATATTTCTTGTTACATTTTCGAAACAATATTTGTGCAAAGATATTTTGTTTGTGATTTACAATAAAGTTCAGCTATTATCACTTATTGATCCTCGCACATCATGGATTATAAGTGTTTAATTTAGGTAAGGATGTGCTCTAAATTGAAAAGGGCAAAAAGTGTGAATACAGAGGGCGATACCAATCATTGTGACGTCACCACAAGTTCTCTTAATAATTATAACTTGATTTATTCTTTATAGTATATAACCTGTAAAACGTTATATTTCATTTCCTGTGAAAAGTTGATGCTGGATATTGTGTGCCACACACCACATTTTACAATATATAAACTTAATGATTCGGAAAGCAAAAAAAGGTTGGAACATCTGGGTCTCAGATCTTTCCCGACCCACTTAAAAGTCGTTTATCGCATTTACGAAACAAATATTATCTTCACAGGTTAATAAGTGATTTTAAATAGTTTCAAATTGTGTTCCGTGTGACATCAACACATTTATAATGTGTTTTAAATTTCAATTATGTTTCATGTAAACCAGTCTCTGACGGGCTCTTACATTAATGATCTACAACAGTTTTGGTTAATTTAACGGTTATGGGTATAAAATGGTGAAATATTGCTCACTTATGAGAAATTCATAATGTATACAGGTGAACTTAATTAGAATCATAAGGATATTACGGTTATAAGCATGGTAAGGCAAGTGTGGAGTACATTCTTTTCAATGAAATGTTTTACCAGAAAAACAGGTGTTGAAATATGTTATTTAAGTTCTTTATCTTTAATTTGGGAGTAATTAAAAGTAAAAAAATTCATGAAATGTTCTCTACATTATAGTGGAATAACCTTACGCTTTTTCATTTGTTTTTTCTATATACAATAAAATGTAGTTCATCCAGATCAAAGCTACACGTACACATCACAACCTTCTTCAAAGAAATGATGTATATATCGATTTTATATAAAATGATGTAAGTAGATATGGCATGTTTATTGTCAGTGCGAGTCCAGTGCTGTTCAAATCAGTATGGCTTAATGTGACGTAATGGTCATTGCCGATTATGCCATCCATATGCCTAAGTGAGACAAGATTGTTCCTCATGCCTCTCTACATATCGTTGCACTGTGAATCATTTTTAATAAAAAAAATATACAAATTGGGTCCAACGTACGTATTCTGGATAATACGAAGCTTTTTGTATGTGGTTTTGTACAACAAGTGTTTCATTTTGATTTGCTGATGGCAAAAAGGTATGGATACCAGATTACCTGTCAACAGGTTGACGTTATCATCTTGACAGGGGAAAATGCAATTTAAAGTCAGCATTTAGGAAAATAATAGAAAAGTACTTTAAAGTATCACAAAAAAGGAGATTATGTCAACAACATATCAGATATGCAACGTTATTCGATATTAACTTTTTTCAGAAACTATCTAAATGCAAATAATCTATCTCCATAAAAACGCAGCCAGATCTACTCTCTTTGTACTTTAATTTTGAAGTTAGAACCACATGGTCGTATGATAAAAGTGTACTTGTGGTCAGAAAGGAGAATGTAACATCATCATAACAGGTCATAATCTGTTTATTTAGTTGCTGACGTCATGAGGTTACACAATAGCATTATGTCACTATTTCAATGTCATTTTATGACTATGACATTATTTAACTATGACCTTACCATGTCATAATAGGCCTATGACAATCTATCTACGATCCCTTGATTATGTATTTAGTTTTTGAGAAGATAATACTGCACTCTATCTTCTTCCATGTGCCGCCTGTTAAGGAAACGGCGACGAGCTCATTATCCAGAGAAAAAATATTATACATATAAAAGGCAGTTGTCACTGCCCGATCACGAATGTTTTTATGAGTATCTTCGGATTCCTCACTCATTAAGACACCCTGTGCACTCCCATCGGTGCCAACAAGAGTGTCTAATATAAGTTGAAAAGAACTTATTTGATAGTACCAATGTCAACTACCCATGCCATTTATGCTGTTCACTATTCAAACGAAATGTAACATAAAAAACAGAATGCAACACGTTACTGTTACTAAAGAATAAAACCCATGTAAGTTGAGAGCAGTTAGGTCAAAATAGCCAAGGTTTCCTATGGTACTGAGTAGCCATATTTGATAAATTCATTCTGGTCGACGAGTTAAAGAATTTACGTCTAAAAGACAAACTGTGAATTGATGTACGTAAATGTTAAACAGGACAACCAGATGTTTTTAGGACAATTATCAGAAATACAATTGTCCTCATTTTACATTCCTCTGACCTATAGTTGTCATTACTAGTTCTTTAATGGATTTGGTTGGATTAGTCATTTATGGCATGATTGCCAATTAAGCTTGCAACAGTTGGATGAATTGTAATTGAAAATGAGACAAAAACACTTTTCCAATTTTTGAAAGGGCAGTGAATTAGCATAATGACATATTCTACTTTAAGCACAAAATGTTTCTTCATCTATCACATACAATATGCATGATTTTTTCATTTTAAAGCTAAGTAGTCTGCCTTCTAAAATAGTTCCCAACATGCATGATGTCAAAAACTTGTTATGTTCATAGATATCTTTGGAACATTTGCTGGTGTAGAATGTCGGCCTTCTAATTAGTTTTAATCAATATTCCTGCAAAAGATATGTTCTGGGGAATAAAGACAATAATCCGAGACACATTGCATAATCTCTGATAATAGAAAGGCTAGTTCATATGGTGCAAACCTAATACCTGTAACGTTGATCCCTTAATACAGGTATTTAGTTATTCTTAATTGGATCTAGCGTCTTGTACAGGAAAGATAATTAGACGCAGTAGGTTACAGTGCGTGTCTTGTGACAGTTAGCCAAATGTTTTAGACCAAAATCCTCGACCGATATGATACACTATACTTTTTGTCGGAGGTCAATTCTTGAAGTTAATAGCAAGGCTAATACCCGATTGTCTGCAAATATAATCACAATCATTCCCTTATGTATAATTCGATATTATGATCAATATAAATAAAGTATCCGATATATAGATACAAGCCTTTCTTAAAAGCGAATAAATGAAAAACCTTTATTAAAAGCGAATAAATAACACAAAAACGCAAGTGACAATGGTAGACAATTCTATGACTCGTGCCCAAACTGGGCCTCTATCTCACGACCTACGGCACCAAATTGCCTAGCCTAGCTCCCACCACTTCAACACCTCACATTCTTTATATAAATAAGTAGCTTCAGTATTAACAGAATGTATAACCAATTGAAAACTATGTGTCTTATACTTTCGTATACCATTCAGATGGCGAGTCAGTTGGTTACTTTACTTTAATATTCGCCATTTATCTGACACAGAGGCTAACTTCATCGTTTCACCAGCGTTGCCGTTATTGACTGGGGATAAAAGTCCCTACAGCAGATATCAATATTTAAAATCATCCATGGAACAGCTCACCGAATTGAGGCCTTTAAATTACCCGATAGGTTGGTATGGCCCATATTTCCATTCCTTGATTAATCAAGGAGAAAGAATATGGGATACAGACAGTATTAATCAATAGTACCAATACACACATGACATCGACCTTGATTCACTTGGATATAAATGACTAAGAGTATATACTACGTGGAAGGAAAACATTAATTGTGATGTTAATGCTGAGGTATAATATCGCTCATGCTTGAAAGAAACAGTTTAAGAAAATATTTCAGTTCTGCCAGCCCGTTGTAAAATCTCATGCCCATTTTGATCTCTCTGATTATTT